AACGAAAAAACAACGGTTTTCTTCATTATTTGTCTCCAAAACCAAAATGAAAGATTCTGTGAAACTGCACAGACCATGTTGTACCATGTTTGTGTGTATTTTTTGATGGGACAGTGGTGACAGAGTTCAAGAGTCACTGTTTTGAGATTCCCCCAGGCCCCAGGTTCCCAGAGACAGACGCCTGCTGGTTGGTGAAGGGACAAAGGAGAATCTCAAAACAGTGAAAGGAGTGAACATCCTGTTTATGGAGCACAGGAGGAACACAAGTCAATCAAGTGGGAGAGAGATCTTTGCTTCTAAGTTTGAATAAGTTGATTCAGGACACCACAGTCGTCTCGTACATGTAAAAGAAGAACAAGAATGTCATTCTTATGAGCACATTACATATGGCTGCAGAGGTGAGCTCATCATCATCATCATCATCATCATCCTTGACTACACTGCCAACAAAGGAGGAGTGGAAAACCTTGACAAAGTAACAGGCAGAGCTGCAAGAGCAGAACCTCCCGCTGGTCTGCTTTGTCTATGGAGTGGAGCTGAACCTGACCTGGAGGCCAAGCAGAAGGAACTGGAGGAGGTTCTTCTCTGGAGGAGCTTGGAAAGGTCCTTGTGACTCCCTGTTTGCAAAGGTGACACCAGCTTCAGCAGCTTCAGCAGCTTCAGCAGCTTCAGCAGCGTCGGTGAGGCCAGTGCCGTGATCTGAACCTGACCCTGATCAAAAAGTCACACCACAAACCAACACAAGGACCCAGAAGAGAAGGAGATACAACTTTAGCTCTGCAAAGAAGAAACTGCAAAACATCTACAACCTGCTGCAAATGTGAGAAACACAGATACAAGTCTCACACGCAGAGTTTCCTCCCACTGCTCTGAATGCACTGACTAGTTTGAAATAAACATATGCAGTGGATAAACATGGAGATATTATCAATTCCAACAGTTCCAGAATATTCATGTCATTTTCAAATGCAAAAATATATACAAAAATCATAAAGGCTTTTATGTGTTTATGTGTTTTGTAAAACAGGACATGATACTTGTGATAGTCGATGTTTTTCTCCAAAAACGACTGTTGTAAAACTTACAAAAATACATTATATTTATATATTACACTTATTTATTCATGTGGGACAGTCTGTTTAGACATTTTAAATAAATCTGTAGTTCAACATTTGGTTTAGACACTCACTATGAAGGAATTCTTGGTCCGGGTCAAATTTGACCCGAACCAAACTGTGAAGGCTTCAGAAATGAACAGTATGTAAGGACTAGCATTAGCATTAGCATTAGCATTAGCATTAGTCAGCAGATTTTCGTTGAGTCACTTTCACTTTTTAGTGTAAAATCAAACTCCTGAACAGAACCACGACGCTCTGACCTCAGGGAAATGAAAATAAATCACTTTTGTGTTTTTTCTTAAAGTTCCGGACGATCTTAAAGCCTTTTTTTTTTTTTACAGTGTTTGCGGATGTTTGCCTCGTTGTGTCTCCGTGGTAACTGCTGAACATTCTTCCTGTACACATACACGTAGAACACCCCCGGCTTAAAGAAACGTTTCTATACTTTTCCAAACTATTTTGAGCGTCGAGTCTTTCCACGTCGAGGCTTCAACGTCCAAATCAGGTCTTAAATTGGTGACTCGAGTCCGACTCCTCCGGTCAACGTGAAAACATAAAATACAGATTTAAATTCCCCCAAAATTCTGACAGTTTTTTTTTTTTTTTTTTTCTACAAATTCCACCCTAAAAAAAACAGAAAACGTTTCATTTTCTAAAATTTTTATTCAAAGATCAACAGTCAAGTCATATTTACAATCAAACCGTCTCCCGTGATCTCAAATTCTACAACTGTCTAGTCCTGGTTTAGTCCTGGTCTGATTCTTTAGTCCTCTTCCTAGTCTTGGTTTAGTCCTGGTTTAGTCCTGGTTTGATCTTTTAGTCCTTTTCTTAGTCTTGATCAGTCCCGGTTTAGTCCCTGAGTCCATAGTGTCATAGCTGTACGTTTAGTCCGGTTTTAGACCTGGTTTAGTCCCGGTTAAGATCTACGGTAGTCCTGGTTTGGTCCTGGACTGGTTTGACACTAAAGTCCGAGTTTAAACCTGATTATACAGCGTCTCAGTTGGAAGCGTGGTCCGTTTTAGACCGAGTTAAGACCCACTTTAGTCCCGGTTTAGTCCCTAGTCTAGAAAACATGATTCATAAATATCGGAAAAACAATCTCAGATGACAAAAATCGAAAAAAAAAACAGAACAAAAATCAGAAATCTACGGAGAAGTCTTGGCGTATTGTGATTTAAGTGTGGTCTAAAATCCTGAACCCGCACCCAGGGTTTTGAAGAAGAAGAAGAAGAAGCGCTGAGGGAAACGATCGTGAGTTACGGAGCAGATCTGCGGACGTCCGACTGAAGACGGGACGTTCGTGTTGGATTGGTGAAGCAGCGGTGCATGATGGGAAGTGTAGGCACGAGGCAGCGCGGCCGGACTCACATGTTTGGATCTGATAAAAATAAAAAATAAAAAAACACAAACAGAGATCGGAGTTAGACCAGTTTAGATTTGAGATATTAAGATGGTTTAGTCCCAGTTTAGTCCTGGTTTAGTCCTGGTTTAGACCTGGTTTAGTCCTGGTTTTGACCTGGTTCAGTCCTGGTTTAGTCCTGGTTTTGACCTGGTTCAGTTCTGGTTTAGACCTGGTTTAGTCCTGTTTTTGACTTGTTTCAGTCCTGGTTTAGTCCTGGTTTAGTCCTGGTTTAGACCTGGTTTAGTCCTGGTTTAGACCTGGTTTAGTCCTGGTTTTGACCTGTTTCAGTCCTGGTTTAGCCCTGGTTTAGTCCTGGTTTAGTCCTGGTTTAGAGCTGGTTTAGACCTGGTTTAGTCCTGGTTTAGACTTCGTTCAGTCCTGTTTCAGTCCTGTTTTTGACTTGTTTCAGTCCTGGTTTAGTCCTGGTTTAGTCCTGGTTTAGTCCTGGTTTAGACCTGGTTTAGTCCTGGTTTAGTCCTGTGTTTAGTCCTGGTTTAGTCCGTGTTTAGTCCTGTTTAGTCCTGGTTTAGTCCTGGTTTAGACCTGGTTTAGTCCTGGTTTAGTCCTGGTTTAGTCCTGGTTTAGTCCTGGTTTAGTCCTGGTTTAGTCCTGGTTTAGACCTGGTTTAGACCTGGTTTAGTCCTGGTTTAGTCCTGGTTTAGTCCTGGTTTAGTCCTGGTTTAGTCCTGGTTTTGACCTGTTTCAGTCCTGGTTTAGTCCTGGTTTAGTCCTGGTTGAGACCTGGTTTAGACCTGGTTTAGACTTCGTTCAGTCCTGTTTCAGTCCTGTTTTTGACTTGTTTCAGTCCTGGTCCAGTCCTGGTCCAGTCCTGGTCCAGTCCTGGTCCAGTCCTGGTCCAGTCCTGGTCCAGTCCTGGTCCTCACCCCAGACGTAGTCCGTGACCCTGCCGCCGTGGTTGACCCGGCAGGTGAACTTGACGCCGCTCTCGGGGGTGAAGGGGGCGCTGTTGGTCAGGTGGAAGTGCCAGTCCTGTTTGAAGGCCAGGTCGGTCTGCTGGGCGTTGTCCAGAGGAGCGTCGCCCTTCAGGAGCGTGATGGTGATGTCCGGAGGGTGGAACTGGCTCACGTGGCAGATCAGGACGTTGCCTTTGCCGAAAAGTCCCGGATCCCGACTGTACAGCTGGACTTTGGGAGGACCTGAAGAAGAAGAAAAAAAAAAAAAAAAAAAAAAACGTTATCTTTGTCGTCTTTGTCCGAATTCCCGCTTTAAACCCAAATAAAAATGAATTCCGCTTTTAAGAAGACCACGAAAACACTTAAAGTTTGTATAGAGGATTTTTTAAGGGAAGAGAAACACAGCGACAGTCCTTTTTCAAATTCTCTTTACTCTTAAAATCGCGTTTGTTTACAGCCTCGTTCAGAATCACTGTTGAAGTTTCCCGTCTAGAAGTAATTTATCGACCGACGTGTCAGTTTTTAGATCCTTCATCTGCTTCAGTCGCGCCGTCGCTGGAAGAAATCTCCAAGAATCACCTCAGTTTGTCTTCGCTCCTTTTCTCCTTCTTTTCTTCTTTCGGCGACCTCAAAAACGGACTTTCTTTTGCGGCGAACTGGTCGTAGATTCTCGTCCGCCGTCGCGTCAAACTTTGTGCGAAATGCGAGGAAGCTGCAGTTTAAAAAAACCTCTAAGACCCGCTGCATAAACCGCGTAATCCCCGCGCGCCGACGAGTCAGTTACACTAGAAACGTAGGGAGTTTGATTGACAACCTAACAGCCAATAGAAAATGAGGAAGCTTTGTTTTCTATTGGCTGAAGTTTATCTGGCCTCAACACATCCACAGTTGATAGATTTTCATTCTTTTTTTTTTTTTGGTCACCATAATTATAAGGCTGCTGCGTCTCTGTAATGTTTTTTTGTTTGTTTGTTTGTTTGTTTGTTTTGGGGTTTTTTTAGTTTTTTTTTATTTATACTCTGTCAAATTTAAGGGATTGGATACCCAGCACATCCACAATAAGACAGACTTAACTAAACACGCATACAGAAAAAAAAAAAATAAATAAATAATAATAATAATAATAAATAAAAAATTATAAATAAAATAAATAAATAAATAAGTAAATAATAATAATAATAATAATAATAATAATAATAATAAAAAAAAAAAAAAAAAAACTTTCACTGATAATTTGAAATAAAAAAAAAAAATCCTCCATACAACCTTTAATTCTAGGGATGTAACGATGTCTAAATCTCATGGTGCGATATTTACTGCGATATTTTGAAGAGGCTGATATAATTGTAGACAGGACACTTTTTCGCTTTTAAAAAACCTTGACAAGATTTTGGTGTGAATTATTTCCATCATAATCCCAAGAAATCATGCGTCACGAATTTCAGACTTCTGATCATCGTACAATTCACACTGGGAAAGATTTTCGGAAAAAGTGAGCATCAAACCTCCATGTTTGTTTTCCCAGTGGGACGTGTCTGTTGTCAAAGTCGATCTTTTCAAGTCTTTTGAACCATTTCACTTTTGTTTCTGGTTCTGATATTGTCATATTTTAGTTTTGGGATTTGGACATCGTAATTGTTGTGGTTGTTGTTTGTTCTAACAGCGGAAAACGACTCCAGAAATTTGTTTGGGAATTGAAAAATAGTGAAAGGTGAAGGTGATGGGCAGGATTGATCCACAGGAAGAACCAAAAAGGAAACCTAATTCAGCTTTGACACTTTTGTTTTTGCGTTTTACACAAACTTAAAACCACATAAACTATAAAATGTGATAAAAAACTGTCTGTAGTCCTGGTTTGGTTCTGGTTTGGTCTTGTTTGGTCCTGGTTTGGTCCTGGTTTGGTCCCGGACTCGTCTCATACTAAAATCTGAGTTTAAACAGTCTTTGTGTTTATTTATAGTTTGGGTTTAAACCATGAACTGGTTCTGCCTGGATGAGTCCCAACCGGGCTTAGACTGGCAGAACCGGTTTAGACCTGGTTTAGATTTGGTGTAGTCCTGGTTTAGACCTGGTTCAGTCCTGGTTTAGATCTGGTTCAGTCCTGGTTTAAACTTTCCCGTTGATTAATGTTATAAAACATTTTATGGGGTTTTCCAAAGCAATAAAACAATAACTTTTAATCACTGCTCCTTTAGGCCACTAAAGACTAATCCAGTCCTGGTTCAGTCCTGGTTTAGTCCTGGTTCAGTCCTGGTTTAGTCCTGGTTTAGTCCTGGTCTAGTCCCAGTTCAGTCCCGGTTCAGTCCTGGTCTAGTCCTGGTTCAGTTCTGGTTTAGTCCTGGTTCAGTCCTGGTTCAGTCCTGGTTTAGTCCTGGTTTAGTCCTGGTTTAGTCCTGGTTTAGTCCTAGTCTAGTCCTGGTCTAGTCCCAGTTCAGTCCCGGTTCAGTCCTGGTCTAGTCCTGGTTCAGTTCTGGTTTAGTCCTGGTTCAGTCCTGGTTTAGTCCTGGTCTAGTCCTGGTTTAGACCTGGTTTAGTCCTGGTTTAGTCCTGGTTTAGTCCTGGTCTAGTCCTGGTTTAGTCCTGGTTTAGTCCTGGTTTAGTCCTGGTCTAGTCCTGGTTTAGACCTGGTCTAGTCCTGGTTTAGTCCTGGTTTAGTCCTGTTTAGTCCTGGTTTAGTCCTGGTTTAGTCCTGGTTTAGTCCTGGTTTAGTCCTGGTTCAGTCCTGGTTTAGTCCTGGTTAGTCCTGGTTAGTCCTGGTTTTAGTCCTGGTTTAGTCCTGGTTCTAGTCCTGGTTTAGTCCTGGTTTAGTCCTGGTTTAGTCCTGGTTTAGTCCTGGTCTAGTCCTGGTTTAGACCTGGTTTAGTCCTGGTTTAGTCCTGGTTTAGTCCTGGTTAGTCCTGGTTTAGTCCTGTTTAGTCCTGTTTAGTCCTGGTTTAGTCCTGGTTTAGTCCTGGTCTAGTCCTGGTTTAGTCCTGGTTAGTCCTGGTTCAGTCCTGGTTCAGTCCTGGTTTAGTCCTGGTTTAGTCCTGGTTTAGTCCTGGTCTAGTCCTGGTTTAGTCCTGGTTCAGTCCTGGTTTAGTCCTGGTTTTAGTCCTGGTTTAGTCCTGGTTTAGTCCTGGTTAGTCCTGGTTAGTCCTGGTTTAGTCCTGGTTTAGTCCTGTTAGTCCTGGTTTAGTCCTGGTTTAGTCCTGGTTTAGTCCTGGTTTAGTCCTGGTTTAGTCCTGGTTTAGTCCACACCTTTTCCTTTGTTTTTTTTCCGTCGGGGATTTTCCACTGATCAGAATAAAGTTTTAAACATTTTCACTTTTGTTTTGCGACGTTGTAAAATGTTTCGATTGATCCACGTTTAAGGTTTTTCCAGAATTGAAAATGAATTCAAATTTCATAAAGTGACGTCATGAAAAATAAAGAAAATATTTAACGTATAAATCATAAATATATAAATCTTAATCAGTAAATAAAGATTAAAAAAACACTGAATCTGACTTCGACTTTGACGCAGTTTCAAATAAATCCTCGGTTACACAATCAGGTCGGCTCAAAAATACAAGTTAAAAATAAAAAATCTGAAACACTTTTGAGGATTTTTTTGTAAAATTATTTGAAAAGTGGAAAAGTTGATGCAAACTTCACTCTTTGTCTGAGTAAACGAAGCTTAACACTGGAGAAACAACATTGAAACTCTGGAGGTCACGTTTGTTTTTATTTTGTTTTAGTCTGAGGATTGATGAGAATTAGAGACGTTTTTTTTAAGAAAAATACTCGGAAAAGTAAAATTTATTATCCCTTTGTGTATTTTGGCCTGATTTTGATCATTTTCTGAGACCCTTGGACTTTTTCTTAAGTCATTTCTGTTTGTTCAGCTTCTGATAAAAAGACTCTCAATCTTATTTACAGGTAAAAACTTGATGGAAATCTGTAAAATAAAAAACTAAAATAAAAAATAAATAAATAAAAAAAAAAGAATCTGGATTAGTCTATAGTCAAAATCCACAAATTTAAAAAAATATATTTTAAATCACAAAAATGTACTTTATAAGAACTTTTATATGAATTCTGCCTGGACTTTTTTTTTTTTTTCAGTCCTGGTTCAGTCCTGGTTTAGTCCTGGTTTAGTCCTGGTTTAGTCCTGGTTTAGAAGTTGTTTAGTGCCAGTTTAGTCCTGAGTTAGACCTGGTTTAGTCCTGAGTTAGACCTGGTTTAGACCTGGTTTAGTCCTGGTTTAGACCTGGTTTAGACCTGGTTTAGACCTGGTTTAGTCCTAGTTTAGTCTTGGTTTAGTCCCGGTTTAGTCCTGAGTTAGACCTGGTTTAGACCCGGTTTAGTCCTGAATTAGACCTGGTTTAGTCTTGGTTTAGACCCGGTTCAGTCCGTTATCTGTTTTTTTCCATTTTTCATTTAATTTTTCATTTTCAAATTAGAAAAATGAAGAAGCGAATCATTACCTGTTTTTTTTTTTTTTTTTTTTCATTTTGGTTCAAAAGTCCAGCCAAGTCTGAACTACAAAAGTTTCAGAAATTTTGATTTGAGAGTCGTTTAAATCAGGCGGAGACATAAACTTTTTAATAAATTTTACTTTTCCGAGTATTTTTCTAGTCGTTCACGTTTACTCCGTCTTGAAAAACGTCTGTAATTCTCATCAATCCTCAGACTAAAACAAAAAAAACAAACGTGACCTCCAGAGTTTCAGTGTCGTTTCTTCGGTGTTCAGCTTCATCTGCGTCAGCTACAAAACAAACAAAACTAATTTTCACACAAATTTTACAAAAATAACAAAAGTATTTCAAAATTTTTACTTTTAACTTGTATTTTTGAGATAAACTGAGGATTTGTGTGAAACTGCATCAAAGTCAAAGTCAAATTCAAAGTTTTTTTATATTTATGACTTAAACTTGAATTTTTTTTTATTTTAATTTTAATTAATTTTCATTCTGATGATCAGGAAAGGCCTTAAAAAGTTTTACGTAAAAGTCGTACGCACCTCTGGCTGCAGCTGTGACTCTTCAGGATCCAGATCATTTAAGATTATTTTATTGTTTATTGTATATTTTATTTGCATTTTACACTGAAACTTAAAAAAAATAAAAAAATAAAAATTCTCAACCAGATTAAGAAACGTCGAGACTAAAGACTTCTTGAAATAAAGTGAATTGTTGATGAAAATAAGAACTTTTTTTTTTGACGTTTTGAGTTTGATTTGTTAAAAATGTAAGTTTTTTAAAAATAAAGACATTATTTTTGATTCTGACTTGTTTCATTAAAGCAGAACTCGGATTAAAGAGGAAACACAAAATGGCCGAGTGTTTATTTTATTCTTTCGATTCGGTTTAATAAAAAAAAAAAAAAGATGTAAAAAATGATCAAAATTGTTTTATTATTTGTATGTTTCGTACTTTATAACAAGACATTTTAGGATTTCTGTTTACAGTTTTACTAAAATTATAAAGTCAAATTAATCTTGCATTTTATTTTATTGCTCAAAGTTACCACAAAGACAAAATGGATGCCAAAATTTGCCAAAACACTTTCACTTTGACGCTGCTGTTACGCATTTTATTTGACGTTATTGGAAAAACTTCGACGCGAGACACAAATAAACGTCTTTTTTTGGCATAAATTGTAGCTGCTAAATACATTTCATAAAAGTTTTAAGTCTATAGTTTTGTCTCGGTTTGAGTCGGTGAAGTCCACGCTTTTGCTTTCTCAACCTTGCACACTTAAAATTTTAAAGTTTTTAAACCCAAACATTGAGCATAATCGATATTTAACGAGTTTAAGCAAACACTTAAATTATAAAATGGCACGAATTAAAACTGCGTCATTGCTTTTTGTTTACTTTCACTTTCGCGGATCCACTTTTCCCCAAGATTATTCCAGAGATTTTGCAAAAGAAAAAAAAAAAAAAATGTATAAGACATTGAAACAAAACTAAACAAAACAAAACATGAGCATGAAACGTGGCAAATTCTGTGAAGCGACGTTAATCACATCGTGTAAATAAATACTGGGTTAAGTTTCGTTTGCGATAATTTGATAATTTTGATAATTTTCTGATAAAAATGAGACTTACTCCGCATGTAGCCGGCATCAACGGCGCAGAAAACAGCCACGAGGGCCACGAAGCTCAGATAATTCTTCATTTTCGGCTCTTGATTCAAGCTTGTCACCAACAAACAGCCCGGTGCGTCCGATCTCTCTGCAGTGGCCGCGCGACTGAAGCCAAACCGCGGCGGACCGTGCGTCAAAAGCGCCGTTACGCACCGCCCATTCTCTTGAAAATCGGCCAATCAGAACGCGTTGCCAGGTAGAAGCGGTCCTCACAGGTTGTGGCAGCGCTGAACGGGGCTCTACGGAAAGTCCCAACCGGTGAGTTAAGTTTCGTTTTTGGGATGACGAAGGTTGAATAAAAACGGGAGGCGCCGAAGTGACCCCTGCTGGACGCTCGCGGGTCCTACAGGCTCAGGTGGGGACCGAGTCTTTGACCTCAAGTCCGAGTCGAGTCCGGGTCCGAGTCGTCTGCTTCAAGTCTTTAAACCAAAATACCAAATACGGCTTAGATTTTTTGCGATTTATATGAATTTTAAACTAAATTGTACTTACAGTTGTAGGGAGTATTATCTGTTACATAAGGGCGAGCTGTTGAACAGTTGTAGGGAGTATTATCTGTTACATAAGGGTGAGTTGTTGTACAGTTGTAGGGAGTATTATCTGTGACATAAGGGTGAGTTGTTGTACACTTGTAGGGAGTATTATCTGTGACATAAGGGTGAGTTGTCGAACAGTTGTAGGGAGTATTATCTGTTGTTGTACAGTTGTAGGGAGTGTTATCTGTTGTTGTACAGTTGTAGGGAGTATTATCTGTGACATAAGGGTGAGTTGTTGTACAGTTGTAGGGAGTATTATCTGTGACATAAGGGTGAGTTGTTGTACACTTGTAGGGAGTATTATCTGTGACATAAGGGTGAGTTGTTGTACAGCTTGTAGGGAGTATTATCTGTTACATAAGGGTGAGTTGTTGTACACTTGTAGGGAGTATTATCTGTGACATAAGGGTGAGTTGTTGTACAGTTGTAGGGAGTATTATCTGTTACATAAGGGTGAGTTGTCGAACAGTTGTAGGGAGTATTATCTGTTGTTGTACAGTTGTAGGGAGTATTATCTGTGACATAAGGGTGAGTTGTTGTACACTTGTAGGGAGTATTATCTGTGACATAAGGGTGAGTTGTTGTACACTTGTAGGGAGTATATCTGTGACATAAGGGGAGTTGTTGTACACTTGTAGGAGTATTATCTGTGACATAAGGGCGAGTTGTTGTACAGTTGTAGGGAGTATTATCTGTTGTTGTACAGTTGTAGGGAGTATTATCTGTTACATAAGGGTGAGTTGTTGTACAGTTGTAGGGAGTATTATCTGTTGTTGTACAGTTGTAGGGAGTATTATCTGTTACATAAGGGGGAGTTGTTGTACAGTTGTAGGGAGTATTATCTGAGTTAATGAAAGAGAAGAGTGTCAAATGAAAAAATTCAGTCATAATAGAATGTTATTACCATTATAGATTGTAGTAGTAGTAGTAGGAGTAGGAGTAGTAGTAGTAGTAGTAGTAGTAGTGTTGTCAGAATAAGATTAAGAATGTGGACTGAATCTACAAGATAATTACCAGAAACATTACTTTACAGGGGAAGTAAGGAAAGACAGCAGTATTCAAGTAGTAGTAGCAGAAGTAGTAGTAGTAGGAGTAGGAGTAGAGTAAGTGAAAATGCCAACACAACGTGAGTCTTTTTGTTCAAAGTCCAAGTCATGTCAGTGTTCTTCAGTTACCAAAGTTGTAAGGGTAGAAGTATATATAGTAGTAGTAGTAGCAGTAGTAGTAATAGTAGTCGAATGTGGACTAAATGTACAAGATAATTACCAGAAACATTACTTTACAGGAGAAGTAAGGACAGACAGCAGTATTCAAATATTAATAGAAGTAGTAGTAGTAGTTGTGGTAGTAGTAGTTGCAGTAGTAGTGGTTGCAGTAGTAGTAATAGTTGCAGTAATAGTAGTTGTAGTAATAGAAGTAGTAGTAGTAGTGTAGTAGTAGTAGTAGTAGTAGTAGTAGTAGTAGTAGTAGTAGTAGTAGTAGTAGTAGTAGTAGTAGTAGTAGTAGTAGTAGTAGTAGTAGTAGTAGTAGTAGTAGTAGTAGTAGTAGTAGTAGTAGTAGTAGTAGTAGTAGTAGTAGTAGTAGTAGTAGTAGTAGTAGTAGTAGTAGTAGTAGTAGTAGTAGTAGTAGTAGTAGTAGTAGTAGTAGTAGTAGTAGTAGTAGTAGTAGTAGTAGTAGTAGTAGTAGTAGTAGTAGTAGTAGTAGTAGTAGTAGTAGTAGTAGTAGTAGTAGTAGTAGTAGTAGTAGTAGTAGTAGTAGTAGTAGTAGTAGTAGTAGTAGTAGTAGTAGTAGTAGTAGTAGTAGTAGTAGTAGTAGTAGTAGTAGTAGTAGTAGTAGTAGTAGTAGTAGTAGTAGTAGTAGTAGTAGTAGTAGTAGTAGTAGTAGTAGTAGTAGTAGTAGTAGTAGTAGTAGTAGTAGTAGTAGTAGTAGTAGTAGTAGTAGTAGTAGTAGTAGTAGTAGTAGTAGTAGTTGTAGTAGTAGTAGTAGTAGCAGTAGTACAGACAGACGTCCTCCCCTCAGACGCTCCTCTCCACGTGGAGGAGCAGCGGCTCTACTCCGAGCTCCTCCTGTGTGACTGAGCTCCTCGCTCTATCTCTAAGGGAGCACCCAGACGCCCTGCGGAGGAAACTCATTTTGGCCGCTTGTATCTTGATTATTGGTGTCAAATTATCATGTTAATTGCAATTAATTAATTACAGTCATATTTAGCGCGTTATGTTTTTTAATCGTGTTAATCTTATTTTTAATCTCTAACTTTACTGTTTCTGTGCAAGTCGCCTTATTATAAAATCTGTTTTTATGTGTTGTTGGGACACAGTCGCACTGTGCAGTCCTGCTCCGCTCGCTCCCGCAAACAATTATAATTTTCATTCCCGTTCTCGCCGCATCTGTGATAAACCTGCACATGTCTGATCTGAAAACATCACGACACAAACACAGAACAGACTCACCTTCAGCAGAACATCCCTCTGTCACAGAGAGAACACTCATATTCCACTGAGTCGTGTCCTTTAGTCCAACACAAACTGAACCACATCAGCGACACAAGAGCGTTTTTTTTTCTTTTCTCCACTTAGTTTATGCAAATGAGTCATGCAGTTTTAAGTTTTGTTTCTGTGAGACTTGTACAAATCTGAAATAAACACATGATAATGTCAAACAGCTGATGTGGCTCTAGAGTAGTGATGTTTATATGTCGTAAAGTTGAGTTTACTTATGCAGATTAGTAACAGTAACAATGATGATACTTATATAAAAACGTTAATGATAGTATGAAAATAATGTAATAATGAATTCAAATGAAAATACCTCAAGTTGAAGCTTTTCTCAGCAATTTTCAGGTGAGAATAAAAAAGAGATTAATTAGATTAATTAATTACAAATCATAATTAATTAATCTCCCCACTTTTTAATCGCTTGACAGCACTAATCTTAATCTCGTCGTTTGGGTCATTACCCAGAGCTCATGAGCAGAGGTGAGGGGAGGAACGGAGACTGACGCTAAATTACACATTTCATCATAAATTATACTTTTTGTGAATCCCAAACACTATTTTCAGGTTAGAAAACTGTATTTTTTCAATCCTTCTGAACAGAGAAGCAAAGTAAATAAGATCATTTTAAATCGTTGCTTATTTTTGTTGTTATAATGTCATAAAACCAAAGCAGTCAGGTCTGGTCGTCAGTTTATCATTGTAAATAAATGTCAACAACATTCTGATGACATAAGATTTGAAAGGGATTATTATTATTATTATTATTATTATTATTATTATTATTATTATTATTCACATTTTACTTATTTGTTTTAAATTTTTGTGTTTTACTTTTATCGCGTCTCTGTCGTCATGTGACCGGAAGTACAGATCGTGATGCGCAGAAGCCGGAAGTAGCGGAGCTCGTTTATTTTTCTGCGTTTTTGTTTTTCCCTAAACAGAAAAAAAAAGCGTCAAAAGCGCAAACATGAACAGCGACAAATACCCGCGCTCCTCCATCGAGGATGACTTTAACTACGGCACCAACGTGGCCACGGCCTCGGTGCAGATCCGGATGGGTGAGTCCAGCCCCGGTACCGTCCGAAACAAACCGACACGGCGCCATTACACGAGCCGAGTCTTTACACTTACACATGTGTTATTTTATTTTATTTATTTTTATTTACGGTTTATTCTGCCTGTGTTACTGTCACAAGTGTTGACAGCTGTTAAAAAAAAAAAAAAAATCCTGTTCTCTGATGACGTAGACAGAGTCCGGTCGTTACAGAATTCGGTCCTTTAGACTCCCAGATATGTTATTTTTATTTTATTTATTTTTATTTTTGGTTTATTATGCCCGCGTTACTGTCACAAGTGTTGAAAGCAGTAAAAAATTAAATAAAATAAATAAATAAATCCTGTTTTCTGATGACGCAGACAGAGTCCGGTCGTTACAGAATTCGGTTCGTTAGACTCCCAGATGTGTTATTTTTATTTTATTTATTTTTATTTATGGTTTATTCTGCCTGCATTACTGTCACATGTGTTGACAGCTGTAAAAAGGAAAATAAAAAATAAATAAATAAATCCTGTTCTCTGATGACGTAGACAGAGTCCGGTCGTTACAGAATTCGGTTCGTTAGACTCCCAGATGTGTTATTTTTATTTTATTTACAGTTTATTCTGCCTGCGTTACTGTCACAAGTGTTGACAACTGTAATTATTATTATTATTTTAAAAAAATAAAATAAAATCCCGTCCTCTGATGACGTGTGACAGTCCGAGCGTTACAGAATTCGGTTCTTTTGACTCCCAGATATGTTATTTTTATTCTATTTATTTTTATTTACGGTTTATTTTGCCTGTGTTACTGTCACAAGTGTTGACGGCTGTAATTATTATTTCTCAAATTTAGAAGATTCAGTTCTTTAGACTCACAGATTTGTCATTTTTATTCACAACAGTCGGTTTATTCTGTCTGTGCTACTGACAACTGTAATTATTACTTCTCAAAACAAAAAAAAAAAAAATCCCGTGATGTCCTCTGATGACATAGACAGAGTGATAAGTTGTTAAAATAAAATAAATCTTTTAGTAAAGCACATTATTATTGACTTTTCACTTGCAACTGGATGAACTGTTTATTTTTTACACTCTAGATTCTTCCAAAAAAGATCAAGTATTGTGTAATTAATTAATGTAATATTAATATTTGTAAAAATTCCCCATTAAGACAAATCATTATTTAAACTGTTTTTGAGTGAGTTTCAACAATATGTAGGAAGTATTTTACCATTTCCCAACCCCAAAACCTGAAAACTTAGACTTGAACTGCATTTATCTGGTGTTAAATACAGCTGTCTGTGTTAGTTTGTGTTGTAAAAACTATATTCAAAATATAAAAATAAAAAGCAAAATGCATTTTCAAACTGTGCTGTAGGAAAGAAAGTGAAAGTGTGTTGTGAAGCTGCGTCACAGCCGTTTCCAAAAACAAAAAGAAACATTTTACAGTTTACTTTGAATTGTCTCTTTTGATTTCATGTTTTTTTGGTCCAGAACATTTATAAACAAGTTGTACCGCTGCGTTCTCACCAGGTTTATGACAAAAACAGCTAAAAAAAGACAAACAAACAAAACTAAAATTGAGTGTTATTCATTTAAGAGCACAGAAACACAGAACACAGGAGTGAGATTGATAGATAGTGAGTTAGTACATTGACCCCAGAGTACATTTACCCCGGGGTAGTAAAGTGACCCCCCATAGGGTTTTGACTCCTCTTACTTTTTTCTTTAGTAGTTACTTATCTGATTATTATTTCTCATGTCATTTACTTTTATTATATACTGCTACATATTCACGATCTTTTAAGGTATTTTAAGGAATGTTTTGATGGAGAACGACTTGGTGTTTTGTGTAAATGGGCCCAGTCAAGCAGAAGTAAACATCAAGACCAAAAATTCAAGTTAATTCATCTGATATAAAAATGTATTGAACAGATACATATGTACTCTAGTTTATGAAACTGTTTACCTTTTTTCTGTACCATTTTTGGTTCTAAAGTTCCATCTGTTTTAAACAGACCATGTATGAAACATGGAACAAAAATTATTTCCCAAATTTCAAAGACCTGAAAATCATGTAAATAAATGTTTGTATTTCATCATGTCTTGTGTTATTCCATCTTTGAACTGTTGATGAAGGTACAGGATTTAAAAAAAAAAATAATTTTAAATGATAAAAATGTTCTTGGAAGGACTGACATATTTTATAGAAATAGTTTTTTTCATTTTGAAGTAATATTAAAGTTTTCAGAAGAAAAAAGTGACAAATGATGTAAAATCCTGCACCTTCTACTTGTTTGTACAATTTTCCCTCCGTTACTTTTCCCTCCGTTACCATGAACTTTCTTAATAAAAAATCTCATGAGTCAAAAAGTAAGAGGTTTTTCAACCTAATCTTGTACCATATGGTAGAAAACTATATGAAGCAAATATTCAAACCAGTTTGTTAAGGATATGTAAGTGAGAACCAAGAGTTATCACTGTTTGGATTTATTGACCAAAAAGTGCTGCATATTTCATTCCCTCCGTTACCGACATGAGTTTTAAAATTTTTTGTCTTGAACTTGAAAGAATCTCACAGGTTTAACTTGACCCTGTTGGAGTGTAACTCTTTCCTACATTCTGATACTTTACTTATTTCAATAGTTCCTCTAGTTTCTGAATAAGAGACATTTGAATGTCAAAAATCTGCCCCTGTTTCCCTCCGTTACCACTTGACCAGACCCAACTGTAACATATTGTTAAAATTACATATACATAGAAATCTTGTCACTTTTTATATTGTATTTTACATTGTTATGGTTTTTAGTTTGCTCTGTTCAGGTAATCCACATGTAATATTAAGTGAAGTTATTGATTACATTTTGGTCCAGGGACTTTGATCCCAAAGGGGCCGGATCAGAAAACTCATGGCATATTTTATTTTTCTCTTTCTTTTACAAAATATGAAAATATTATGAACAACCTGAAACAGGAGTCAAAATACTGTTTGTTACATTGACCCCGGGGTCACGTCTCATCATCCAATCAGACGCACTGTTATTAAGAATTAAATGTGTTTTCTAGAGCAACAGAACACAAAAACGAACAGAGACAAGAGAAGTGTAACGAAACAACCACATGTCTCTCCTCAGACGGTGGTTTCTGTGTCACAGTGGTGAAGGTTTTATATTACGCAAAAAACGGACTCTTGTAAGCGTTAAGTCGTGTTCTAATGTTGTTCCTTCTTCAAAAACAGAGCTGGAGTTGTGTTTTTGTTTCATTATTTCATCATTTTATTATTACTCTGTCTACATCTCCAAAGCTCCAAACATTTAAAAAAGTTCATGTTGTGAAAATAGAAAAGAATCTTACAAAATCTGAATGAAACAAAACACAACTCCAGGTCTGTTTGTGACGAGGAAACGACGTCAGAACAGATCAGAGAACAGAGAGTGATGTCGTTTAAGGTTCCTGGTTAAAAATCAGGTGCAGAATGACCTTTGACCTTTGACCTCTGACCTGTTGTGTGTTTGTCCAGATTTCCTGCGTAAAGTTTACAGCCTCCTGAGTCTGCAGCTCGTCCTCACCACAGCCACGTCGGCCCTGTTCATGTTCTGCCAACCGCTCAAGGAGTTCGTCCACAGCAGGTCAGTGAACGCACCGTAACAGTGAACGCACCGTAACAGTGAACGCACCGTAACAGTGAACGCACCGTAACAGGTCAGTGAACGCACCGTAACGCACCGTAACAGGTCAGTGAACGCACCGTAACAGTGAACGCACCGTAACAGTGAACGCACCGTAACAGTGAACGCACCGTAACAGGTCAGTGAACGCACCGTAACAGGGTAACAGTGAACGCACCGTAACAGGTCAGTGAACGCACGTAACACCGTAACAGGTCAGTGAACGCACCGTAACAGGTCAGCGTAACGCAAACACCGTAACAGTGAACGCACCGTAACAGGTCAGTGAACGCATCGTAACAGTGAACGCAGCATAACAGTGAACGCACCGTAACAGTGAACGCACCGTAACAGCCAACGCACTGTAACAGTGAACGCACCGTAACAGGTCAGTGAACGCACCGTAACAGGTCAGTGAACGCACCGTAACAGGTCAGCGAACGCACCGTAACAGGTCAGCGAACGCACCGTAACAGTGAACGCACCGTAACAGGTCAGTGAACGCATCGTAACAGTGAACGCAGCATAACAGTGAACGCACCGTAACAGTGAACGCACCGTAACAGGTCAGTGAACGCACCGTAACAGGTCAGTGAACGCACCGTAACAGGTCAGCGAACGCACCGTAACAGGTCAGCGAACGCACCGTAACAGGTCAAACGCAACGCACCGTAACAGGTCAGCGAACGCACCGTAACAGTGAACGCACCGTAACAGTGAACGCACCGTAACAGCGAACGCACCGTAACAATGAATGCACCCTAACAGCACCGTAACAGTGAACGCACCGTAACAGTGAACGCACCGTAACAGTGAATGCACCGTAACAGTGAATGCACCGTAACAGTGAACGCACCCTAACAGCACCGTAACAGTGAATGCACCCTAACAGCACCGTAACAGTGAACGCACCGTAACAGTGAATGCACCGTAACAGTGAACGCACCGTAACAGTGAACGCACCCTAACAGCAAATTTTATTTTGAACGTGATGAAGAATTTTCCAGAGGAGGTGTCTTCCAACTCGAGACACACGTTTGTTTTGTCTGAAATGTTCCGCAGTACGGCATTAAACCCTTTTATCTTCAAGGAGACCAAATCAGACGCAGTTCCTGGTCAGATCTGTGGAGAGGCGACCCCACTCACAGTCACAATGTCTGTTTTTCTCTGGATTTTTGAGCTTTAAAACCACCTGTGATTGAATAAATGTGAAGTAGAGCTGTTTAAAGTCACACTGTGGAACATTCCAGGCACAGCAATGACTTCTCCAAGCAACAAGCAACCAAAAAGTTACACAGTGCCGCTTTAATGAATATAAAATAGGCCCAAGTGAGCTGATGTGAGGGCCAGGTTCAGCACACGGTGAAAGAAGAATGTGAAAAATGCTCCGAGACAAAAGCAGAACCGGTTTTACAGTTTTGTTTTTTTTATTTGGCGTAATATCGAAAGCGCCGCAGCAGAACTTGTTTGAATAGAGACAAAACAAACGAGGATCGACCAAAACACGGATCGAGAATGATTTGAATAAACGCAAAACTAAAGAGCGAGCATAGGATCTAAAAACAAATAAAAGGTTCATTCTGTGCGACTTTCACAGAGACTTTTGGCTAAAATCAGGGTCAGAAATATCGAAAAATCAGGTCTAATCGATACTAAAACTGATATCGAAACTAGATCCTCATTTTTTGTGGGTATCAAAAACTAAAATAGTTCCAGAATCTTTCCTGAATGTGTTTAGAACGACCTGGAGCTGGACCAGAACAAGAATAAAACACAGAGACTAAAATACATGGACCTGGTTTAGTCCTGGTGTTAGACCCAGTTTAGTCCTAGTTAAGTCCTGGTTTAGACCTGGTTAATTTAGTTCTTGTTCAGACCTGGTTTAGTCCTGGTTTTGTTCTGGTTTAGTCCTGGTTTAGACCTGGTTTAGTTCTGGTTTAGTCCTGGTTTAGACCTGGTTTAGTTTTTTAGTCCTGGTCTGGTTTAGTTCTGGTTTAGTCCTGGTTTAGTCCTGGTTTAGAGTCCTGGTTTAGTCCTGGTTTAGTCCTGGTTTAGTCCTGGTTTAGTCCTTTTAGTCCTGGTTTAGTCCTGGTTTAGTCCTGGTTTAGTCTGGTTTAGGTTTAGATTTTAGGTTTAGTCTGGTTTAGTCCTGGTTTAGTCCTGGTTTAGTCCTGGTTTAGTTCTGGTTTAGACCTGGTTTAGACCTGGTTTAGTCCTGGTTTAGTCCTGGTTTAGTCCTGGTTTAGATTTTAGTGGTTTAGATCATGTTTAGACCTGGTTTAGGGTTTAGGGCAGGTTTAGACATGTGATTTTTAGACTGTGAAGAGTGGTGGAGTTTGTGGTGTAAACAAACGGGTTTTATGTTGGTGTTTTCCAGCCCCGCCCTGGTCCTGGCCTCGGCTCTCGGGTCTCTGGTTCTGCTCCTGGCTCTGTTCGTCTACAGACACCAGCACCCGGTCAACCTGTACCTGCTGCTCACCTTTGTAAGAAACAACACCACAAATATAAAAACACTTCAACACTTCAACAGAGTCACATTAAACCACACAGAAGAAAATAACTCTCACACAATCAGTTTGAACATTTTCTCTGTTTATATGAGTCCAATCTGTTCTAGAGTTCTCTAGTTCTGGTTTAGTCCTGGTTTACCTGGTTTAGACCTGGTTTAGTCCTGGTTTAGTCCTGGTTTCCTGGTTTAGACCTGGTTTAGTCCTGGTT